ATCTGCCGTCACAGAGGGAGGAAAGCTGTACTCTTTATAGAGGACCTACTGCCTGCCCAGGAGCCATGCCTGGCATCTCGTTCCCCCCATAATGCTAGAAAGTAGATTTTCTTCTTCCCTTTTTCACAGATGAGGAACTGAGATTCAGGATGTAAGTGATTTATTCATAGTCACACAGCCAGGGGACGGCTGAGCCAGGATTCAAGCATCTGTCTGATTCCAGATTCCACACACCTTCCCACTGCCCTGTGACTGTGGGGCACTGCAGAGGGAGAACTACACAGGGGAGGTGACCCAGCCTCAGGGGGCTCCAGGTGCGCCCCTCCCCCAGAGTGGTACCCACAGAGGGAGTTCCATGGTATCCACTGACAGGAGGGTAAATTGTATTTCTGAGGAGGGAGAAAGGAGCTACTGTAGAATTTAATAGCTAAACAACACCTCTTTCCCCACCCCCACCCCTGTGTGCTCTACACTTGGAATCCCACCAGTCCCTTGAGGCCCTACACAGAGATACTACATCCATAGTCTGCCACACTGGGAATCTGCCTAGTTTACTGGGAAGAGACTGTCACCTCACTACACCCTCAGCTTCCCCAAAACCTACCACAGAGTTCAGTGAAGGCCGGCCCCTGAATAGCTAATAAACTCAGTCGATGCTGAGTCAGACTGTGCATTTTCATGTATGTAAATTAGGCTTTAATAAACCCAATTTGAGACTTAAAAAATAATAATAATAGGGGCTTCCCTGGTGGCGCAGTGGTTGAGAGTCTGCCTGCCGATGCAGGGGATGCGGGTTCGTGCCCCGGTCTGGGAAGATCCCACATGCTGCGGAGCGGCTGGGCCTGTGAGCCCTGGTCGCTGAGCCTGCGCACCTGGAGCCTGTGCTCCGCAACAAGAGAGGCCACAACAGTGAGAGGCCCACGTACCGCAAAAAAAATAATAATAATAATAAGTATTTCTGGGGCTGAGCACCCCTTAACCGATTTGACTGATGCATTAATATCACAATAATTAAGACTCCAAAGTACCAAAGGCTTCATCTTTAGAGGCTTTCATGAACTTTCTTCTCCCCACTTTCCTACCTTCCCAGTACCACCTTGTGACCAAGGCAAAAACTCAAACGCTTTCTTAGAGAGAAGAGAAACCCAGACCCGAGGCAACACAAGGTTTTAAAGCAGAAGGATTTAGGCTTGACATGAGGAAGAATTTCCTGATGGGGAAAGTGGTTACCCACTGGTACGAGCTGGTGAAGAATTAAAGGGGGTCACTGGACTCCCCACCTCTGCTTGGCGCTCCACAAGTCCCCAGCTTGGTGCACTCAACCCAAGCATGGAAACCGCAGGTGACTCAGGGAATCTTAAGTGGTGGTTGCTAGGTTACAAGCTTCCTCAACGTGCATTCAGTGTAAAGACTAAAGGATGTCACCTGGCTGGGAGGAAGAGCTATGGGGGAAGGAGTGGGGGAAATGGAGAAAAGCCAGGACTTCCAAAACAAGGAATTAGGCCATGGCCTGGAAGGCATCCTGTTCTTAGTACTTTTCCAAGGGTCTGAGCCCCATAGTCCTCACAGAGGGTGTTGCTTGCAGGACATGAACATTAGGTTAGAATGGGGCCTATTCTGGGCCTGGATTCTAGTCCTTTCCCAGCTATGCTGCCTGGCACAGACAGTATGGCAACGGGGAGAGGACAGTCACTGAAACCTTTGAGGTCTGGGCCCCTTCCTTCACTGTAATTGGACAGAAAGCCAAGTGAGAGTAGTGAAGTCTGATGTCCTTAATAATGCACAATTCTTTCATTTGTGATTTAATTATGATAAAGCGAAAGAGCACTGGATTTGGAATTCACAAACTAGACCCACCCTGAACGGTTCACATGGTCATAAGTCAGTTACTTCATGTCACTAAGTCTCAGAGTCCTCATCTGTAAAACAGGGTGCTAATACCTGCCTGACAACATTTCCTAGGGTTTTTAAGATTACGAGAAAGGGGATGTGCGAGGGCTTAGTTTAGCTCGAGTTATGCAAACATAAAGTAGTATGAACTTTATATACCTGCTCACTGAGCTGTCCCAGCTGGGGTGGGTGGAGGCACAAGAAGCCTTGCCTCACTGCTTTGGGAGAAGGCTCCATGGGCAAGAGAGGCTGAAGGTGGACCCTCAACAAGCCCCTCTGTGGAATGCGTATGGCTTTCAATCCTCCTGATCACCCTGCCGTGATTTTGTGAAGACAGTTTAAATTGATGGTTGAGGGTTTGTTCCCTATGCCTCTGGGCAGACTGTGATCTCCAGGAAGAAGAGAAATGTTTGATGTTTCCTGTGAAACTTCATTAATTCAGACCACATTTTTTGGAATTTGTGTTCTTATTGAATAAACAGAACACAAATTTCAGGGAGGGGGAAATTTCCCCCCTTACTCCTCTTGAGTTCTTTTGGCTGGTCTAATAGTTAAATTGACAAGATTATCAGGAGGGGAAAACAACCAATTTAATTCACATGCACAGAGGTCCCATAGAAATGGGACCCCCAAAGTGCCATAGCAGGCTGTTTATATGTCATTTTTATTTATTTTTTATTTTTTGCGGTACGCGGGCCTCTCACTGTTGTGGCCTCTCTCTTTGCGGAGCACAGGCTCCGGACGCGCAGGCTCAGCGGCCATGGCTCACGGGCCCAGACGCTGTGCGGCATGTGGGATCTTCCCGGACCAGGGCACGAACCCGTGTCCCCCGCATCGGCAGGCGGACTCTCAACCATTGCGCCACCAGGGAAGCCCTATATGTCACTTTTAGACAAACAATTATTTGTGAAGACTTACCAAAGGGGCTTGCGCTTCAGGTACAGACTAATGAAGTAACAAAATCTGTTTATACAGTTTTCTTAGCCTTGAATTCCCTAACTCTGGTGATAAGTAAGGATGCTTTCTCTCTCCTGATATGGGGAGGATACTTTCACATGGGAGATTTATTTTCCACTTTCGGGGGAAAGAAGGGGTACAGAGTGTTTTCTTAATATCAAATATTTTTTCCCAACGGCTGTTTCTCAAGTAACTTTAACTTAAAATAATCAGTATGCCATTGTGGTATACCTTGGGGTGGCCTGCTCTGAGCCCCAACACAACTGTCCTCTGTGAAGGTTCTTAGAGGTACTTACTATGTAAGTACAGAGAATTCAAACTAAAAAGCAGTGGAATTTCTAAGCCAAGAACTCAAGATGTTAAGGTGGGCCTATGAGCTGTTAAGAGGTACTGTGACCTCTGTTTCTCACAGGAAGTCATTTCTAAGTGAGGGGCAAAATGTTTGTGCTTGTTCTCAGTTTTTCTTTTTCTTGGTTTTGTTGATAGTAGTTGTAGTAGTAATGGTATCCATAGTGATTTACCAGCCCCTTGCTGTGTGTCAGAAGCTGAACTGAACACTTTACAAATATCATCTCATTTTTTAAAAAAATAAATTTATTTATTTATTTATTTATGGCTGCGTTGGGTCTTCGTTGCTGCACGACGGCTTTCTCTAGTTGCGGCGAGCAGGGGCTACTCTTCGTTGTGGTGCTTGGGCCTCTCACTGCGGTGGCTTCCCTTGTTGCAGAGCACGGGCCCTAGGCATGCGGGCTTCAGTAGTTGTGGCGCACGGGCTTAGTTGCTCCGCGGCATGTGAGATCTTCCCGGACCAGGGCTCAAACCGGTGTCACCTGCATTGGCAGGCAGATTCTTAACTGCTGCACCACCAGGGAAGTCCCAAAAATATCATCTCATTTAATCTTCACAAAAATCTACAAAGATACATCTATACCATGGAATGCTACTCAGAAATAAAAAGGAATGAACTAGTGATACATGCAACAACTTGGATGAATCTCCGCAGAATCATCCTGGGAGCAAAGAAAGCCAATACCCAAAGGTTACATACTGTAAGTTTCTATTTATATAACATTCTTGAAATGACAAAATTATGGAAATGGAGAACAGATTGGTGGTTGCCAGGAGTTGGAGAGAGAGGGGTGAGAGGGAAGAAGGTATGGGTATAAAAAAGGCAATATGTACACCTGAAACTAACACAGTGTTGTAAATCAACTATACTTCAATTTTTAAAAAAAGGCAACATGAAGGGTTCTTGTGGTGATGGAAATATTCTAAATCTTGACTGATCAATTTCCATATCCTGGCTATGATATTATTGTACTATATGTTTTGCAAGATGTTACCATTGAGAGAAATTGGGTAAAAGGTGTTATTTCTTACAACTGCATGTGAATCCACAGTTTATCTCAAAATACAAAGTTTAATCTAAATAAAATAAGGAAACTGAGCCTCGGAGTAGTTAAATAATTTCAGAGCCAGAATTCAAACCCAGCTCTGTCAGACCCCCAAGCCTGAGCGTTTCAACACTTGGCTCTATTCAAGGGAAGCATGTGGGAGGACCCCACAAGCCTGCAGTTCATCACACCAGGTGGCTCACTGGTGTCATGGGCACTTTTGTTACTGGGGACTACTGTCCTGGTAAGGCCATTACAGAATGGCTTGAAAGAATTATCTGGCAAGACCTGTGGGTTGGTGCTGAGGGCCAAGATTTGATAACCAGGTTTTCCCTTCCTAAGGTGTGATGTGGGAGGGACCACTCACGTGTTTGCCTTTCCACTTTTGTCTGTGGCTGTGTGTCCGCATAACTGTGCATTTTCTGTCAGTTTCTCCGTGGATATGAGCATTTCCGGGTGGAGGGTGAGGTGATGTGTAAATTATGCACATGTGCGCAGGTCGGTGTGTACATTGGATGCACCCGTGACAGGTCTGCGTGTGTCACACCCACATAACTTGTTTCTATTAGGTTAAACCATTTGATAATACCTCCCCCAAAGCAAAGTCGACTATTGAGCCGGGCTGTCACGAACTGGGTCTGTGTACTGTAGATAAACTGGGTAATTGGACTCTCTGCCTCCTCATCCAAAACAAACACTCACAAACCGCCCACCCCCACGCTGGAGGGAGTCTAGTCCCCGTCATCTGGGTACTTGGCTCTAGTGCCCCGCTTTCCCTGAACAGTGGGCAAGGTGAGCGTCTCCCGCCGGGCCCTTTCCCTCCCCCCGCAAGCCGGGCGCAGCCAGGGCTTCTGTAAAGAGGTCAGGGCTCGCTTCGCCGCGGGGCGCACGCGGGTTCCTGCACAGGTGTGGCGGCTGATGGTGGGGATGTGCGTGGAGCCGGCTCGCCGGCCTCCCCCCAACCCCCACCCTCCGGCGGCGTTTCCGCTTCTCCTTCCTGCTGCTCATTTATTCTCCTCTTCTGGGTGTGTGACAGCGGTGTGCGGACCGAGGAAGGACAGAGCGCCCTCTCCCCTGCTCCCCGCGCCGCTCTCGGGTAATGCGCTGCCTGCGCCTCGCCGCCGCACTGTGTAAGTGGCGCGGGGGCAGGGACGGGAGTTGGCGGGGAGGGAGAGCCGGGGGAGGCAGGCGGCGGCGCCGAAAGGTGTTAACTCCTTGCTTCGCCGGGAGGCAGCCTGGCACCCTGAACCCCGGAACGCCTCCGGCCCCCCACGCGTTCCGCGGGTTTCCGACCAGCTGGCTGGGAGCGGCGGGGGACGAAGCGGTGCGGGTTTGATGCCGCCGCGGGGTGGCGCCCTCGCCGCCGCGTCTTCCCTTGAAAGTTGGCGGGGGGCTGGGAGCCCGCTCGCCCGCCCACGCCAGGAGGCCAGGGCGCCGGGCCCGGCTGCCCTTGATTCGCCCCATTCCTCCCGCAGGGCCGGGCTCGGACGCCTCCGGACAGCTGAGTCTCGAGGGACGGTGAAGCGCTGGCCGGCGTCGGGGCCCTTGCTGGGGGTCGGGCGGGAGCAGGCGAACCGGAGCGAGATGGAGGCGGCGAGAGAAGGCGCGGAGTAGCCGGCGGACCCCCGGGCTCGCACCTCCCACGGCAATCCGCGGGGGCGCGGCGGGCGGGGTCCCCGGGACTGCCATGGCGGTGCCCAACGTCAAGGACTTCCAGTGGAAGCGCCTGGCGCCACTGCCCAGCCGCCGGGTCTACTGCTCCCTGCTGGAAACCGGGGGGCAGGTGTATGCCATCGGGGGATGTGACGACAACGGCGTCCCCGTGGACTGCTTTGAGGTCTACTCCCCCGAGGCCGACCAGTGGACCGACCTGCGCCCCCTGCCCACAGCCCGGGCCGGGGTGGCTGTCACCGCCCTGGGGAAGCGGATCATGGTGATCGGGGGTGTGGGCACCAGTCAGCTGCCTCTGAAGGTCGTGGAGATGTACAACATCGATGAAGGCAAGTGGAAGAAGAGAAGCATGCTGCGCGAGGCCGCCATGGGCATTTCTGTCACGGCCAAAGGCGAGTGGGGCCAAGGCTGAGGGTGGGCAGAGAGAAGGGAGTGGGGCGCCACGGGGAAAGGGATGGAAGCCAACACTGAGTTGGAGGCCACTGTCACATTCCTGATCCCCAGTTGATCTTTACAATGGACACTGAAACTAGAGACCCGCTGGCCTTATTTTACAGATGGGAAAATTGAGACAATTTTGTCTAGTAAATCAATATGATGCCAGAGCTCCACTCCACCCCACCAGGTTCCTCCCAGCAAACTGGGCAGGCCGGGCCAGAGGGGAGAGCCAAAGGGGGTTAGTGCAATGTCCCTGTACATCCCTTCATTCAGCAGAATGATCGGGCCTTCCACCCAAAGCACCAAATCCCCTGAAATCTTCCTTGCAAGTGCCACCACCTCCAGACACATATTTGGGGCCCTGGGGATGTTCATGCCATCCTCGTACCATCACTAGGCCCCACTGGGAGGGCTTTGGGACCTGATTCCAGGACCTTCTCACCACCATCTGCCTCCTGATCTCAGAGACACTGATGAGTGGACGCCATAATGTTCCTGAGGGTCGTGCTTCTGGGGCATCTTGCCCAGGTTCACTAGGTTCTCAGGGCATGCCTGTGCTGATCACGTAGCTTTGATTCTCATTTCGCTTTTTCCAAGCCCATCATTTCTTTCTTTTCAGGCCTGGTACAGCCCAGAGCACAGAGGGGGCTCTGAAAGCTCTTTTGCTAAAACACACAGGGTTTTATGGAAAATGGCCCAGCAGGAGTTAGGAGACCCCAAGTTCAGATCAGACAGGCTTAGTGGGATGCAACCTTCTCTCCTTCTCTTGCAAAACCATTTCAGCTGCCTGTCGGGTCTACTGTAGATCAGAAACCAGTGTTTCTTGAGTACCTGCTCTGTCCCTGGCACAGTTCTAGGTCCCAGGGAGGAAGGAAAGAGGCAGAAGATCTGATCCCTGCCTTTAGGAGCCCAGGTCTTACCAATGAAGGTCAGAGAGAGAAACTCTAACTCAAAATCCCTGAGGGCAGAGTAGCCAATGGGGCCTCCTGAACTCCCAGTAAGAAAGATGGAAGGCGTGGAGGCCCATGGGGAAATAGAGAGGGAAAGGGTAGTCCTTTATCCGCAGATCTCAATAAGTGGGGCTGAAAGATTAAGAACCAACATTTATTGAGTCCTTACCATAGGTGCCTTATAGGTATGAACCCCTTTGACCCTCACAACCTGTCTGATAAGTTAAGTGCTATTACTATCTTCATTTTAGAGAGAAGCAATGTGAGGCCCAGAGAGGTTAAGTAACTTGCCCAAGGTTACGCAGCCAGCAGGTGATGGTCGAGTCTGTGCTCTTAACTATGGCATTGAATGGGTTCAACAGTTAGTTTACTAAGAATTTACACGCTTTCTAGCAGATGCTGGGGCCACAGATTAACAAATCTCAAGAACCTAACAATCTATTGAAAGAAGCGTACAAAGGTTATTTCAGCAACGTGTGGCAAGTAGGGTGATGCAGGTGCCACAGGAGGTCCTGAGCCGCCGCTCTCAGCCCAGCCTTGCAATCCAGGGACACCCAGGTGACTCTGAAAGGATGAGTAAGAATTGGGTGCAGGAATGGTAGTGTGGGTTCTCAGCTGGAGGTGTGTGGGTGAAAACAGGAATAGAAGAGGCGGAGTTTGTGTAAGGTAAATTTCTCATTAGCAGGCCCCATCTCCCAGCCACAGGCTAGGGTTGGGATTTGTTTTCCCTCTCTTTAGTAAGATTGGAAAGTAGAAAGAAGTAGTACTCATCCCTGCAATCCCCTTGAAGAATGAAAGTCTCATAGAGCCAGAAGCAGTGAGGACTGGCTACTAGGAGACAGAATCCTGGGCAGGGGTGAGTCCCTGGGAAAAAGAGGGCCCTGGGGGTAGGGCTGTGTCCTTAACAGGCTGCGTGAGGTACTGGGGTGAGGCCCAGGGAAACATGGAGGCGTTGCCCATCCTCTCTGCTGCACTGTGTCACCTGCAGCCAAGAGCAGTAGAGAGCGGGGGGGAACTCACTTCTCTGGGCAGGGCTTCTCATAGGGGCCAGTTTTCTCTCCTCCAAAGCCTCTCCCTCATTCACCCCTAGCCCATTCAGTGCAGGGTGCCTCCTGGAGCCCAGAGCTTTCCTGTGCATGAAGGAGGATAGCCTTCACCTATCCGGACAAAGAAAGAGATGGCAGCAGGCCAGTGTCCCACAAGGCCAATGACACCAGGGCTGACCTCATTTCCAAAGGCTCCTGCTAGGTCTAGAGAGTTCTGATCCGGGAGTTCCTGAGGAAGAGGCCACTATTGGAGGGTATCAGAGGAATACCCCTTCTCTTTGGCATCCCTCTGGCTGCCCAGGAAGGAGGAGAATGGAGGGGATAAGACCTGCAAAGGGTTGTCCAGGCCTAGACTCCACTGCAGTATACCTCTGTGAAAGCCTTAGTATTTCGGGTTCAACCAAGGACCAGCCACCAAGGAAGGCTAAGGCATGTAGGCCTGACATGGCTTCAAGAAGACCCAGGCTTGACTGTGGCAGGAACTTTTAATGGTGCCACCAACCCATTCTCGGGCAGAGCGGTGGTTGGGACCTAGCCGGGCTTCAGTGCTTGTATTCCAGGGGTTAACAGAGCCTGGCCGTGGTAGGAGCTGAGTACGATGGGCCTGTCTCATAGTGTCTGCTGTATGGCCTTTCTCCTTAGATTACCGAGTGTACGCGGCAGGCGGGATGGGCCTGGACCTCCGTCCACACAACCACCTCCAACACTATGACATGCTCAAGGACATGTGGGTGTCTCTAGCACCCATGCCCACCCCGAGATATGCTGCCACCTCATTCTTCCGAGGTTCCAAGATCTATGTGCTGGGTAAGGACAGGTTGTCTGGCCCATGTCTGGCCCTTCTTCCCTCCCCCGGGTCAGTTCCTGTTGGAAGCAGTGCCTGTGTGCTGAGCATCTCCGGGGCACTGGGGGTTAATCATGCTGCCCCACCCCTCAGGGAGCTTCCTATATGATCTGTTAACAGTCAGAAGGGGAAACCCAGCCCCAGTCCTCAGAGACTTACTCTTCTGCCCAACCTTCGCCCTACTCTGGCCTCCAGGGGGACGACAGTCCAAGTACGCGGTCAACGCCTTCGAGGTCTTTGACATCGAGACTCGCTCCTGGACCAAGTTCCCCAACATTCCCTGCAAGCGGGCCTTCTCCAGCTTTGTGACCTTAGACGACCGCTTGTACAGCCTGGGTGGCCTGCGGCAGGGTCGGCTCTACCAGCAGCCCAAGTTCCTCCGGACGATGGACGTGTTCGACATGGAACAGGGTAAGCTGGGCACCAGCCCCCGGCTGCGCATCTCCCTTCTGGCTGAATCCCCCACCTTACCCCCATCCCATCCATCCACCCAGGCTCACTTACCCAGCTGGGTGAGCCTTTCAGAGCCTGAACACCCTTCTCCATTCAGGGCTACTCTTGGGATCAAGTTCTTTCATCTGTACTGGGTTCCCTTTGATTGATTAGTTGTTTTTATCAAAGCCTTTTCCACCTATTGTCCATTCTTACAACATCCAGCCAGGGCCAGGTGAGGAAGGGCTTTTTCCTGTTTTTTACTCGTGGAAAAACAGAAGGATCCTGACTCTGACGCTCTCTGCCTCTAGTCAGCCTCCTTTCCAGCTTAAAGCCCGTGAGAACAGAGGTAGAACAAGGTGATTTGTCATAAGAGATTATGGTTCCTTGGGTTACAGCAAGCATGGGAGAGGGTAGAGTATCATTTCCAACAGCAGGAGACATTGTGTATGCGCTGAGCACACAGGGTGGGTGGAGTGGAGATGCTGCCTAGGGTGAGAGCAGTTTGGGACTCGTGTGTATTTGGAGGGGCGGGTGGTCAGCATCTAATTCTCTCTGTGTATCTCCTGCCATCACCCATGGCCTATAGGGGGATGGCTGAAGATGGAGCGCTCATTCTTCCTTAAGAAGCGGCGGGCAGACTTTGTGGCCGGCTCTCTGAGTGGACGGGTCATAGTGGCTGGAGGACTTGGTAAGGATAGAGCTTCCGGGCTGGCACTGCGGTCTGGTGCTTGGTGGATTCTAGGCAATCTGCATGAGCAGGAGAGGGTGCTGGCTCCTTGCACACCACCTGCCTACTGCTTTACTCCAAAGAATTTCAAAGCACTCCCCTCCTCCCAGCCTAGATGTCGTGTCTCCATGGATGGGCCTCAGTTGCGGTCTATCTGTCCCCTTACACAGGAGAAACTGAGGCCCAGAGAGCATAAGGGACATACTGATAACCATGTGACACAGGCTTGCCAAGCACAGGTCCCTGGGCCCCTGTCCAGGAATGACTGGAGGTGAAAGTGTGGCAGGGATTGGCCTTGGTCCTCTTTCTCTTCTCCCTGGATACCCAGCTCTGTCATGGAGTAGAAAAGCAGTGTGATCAAATCAGTTATTCTAATGAATTCAGGATTTGCTGTATAAGACCTCCCAGAGATTAGGGTATTTTGAAGGCAGGACCCCAACATCAACAGGGGAGAGACAGATGGGCAGCAGAGCTTCCAGGAACCCAGAGTTTACTCAGTGTGGACAGACACCCTGTTTACCCACACAGGAAAGCAGCTTGATGTAAGCTAGACCATGTGAGCAGCTTTCTCAGTAAAGGGCAGAAGAGAGGCAGTAGTGTCTAGAAACTTCTGGTAAAAGCAGCGGTGGGGAAAGAAAGTTACTCTTGAGATGAAAAGACAGAGAAGGCAGGAAGGACAAAGCAGCTGTTTGACAAAAGGGTGGGGAAGGAGCAATTCTGTAGCCAAGGAAGTTGAGGTTGATTGGCTTCTGCTTGTGGTTCCAGAGGGGGGCGGGGAGCAAGATGGGGGGACTTTCCCGGGGCAGATTGGTGACTGGACTCCTTTGTAAGGTCCGGTTCCCTTGGCACTTTCAGGGAACCAACCCACTGTCCTGGAGACGGCAGAGGCGTTCCACCCGGGGAAGAACAAGTGGGAGGTCCTCCCCGCCATGCCCACACCCCGCTGTGCCTGCTCCAGCATCGTTGTCAAGAACTGCCTCCTAGCCGTGGGGGGCGTCAACCAGGGTCTGAGCGATGCGGTGGAAGCCCTATGTGTCTCTGACTCCTAGCTGGCTCTGGGTCCAGCCACCATGTCCTGGACCGGATCACCCCACTCTGGACAAGAGGAGTGATCTCATCAAAGTAGTTTGGGCTGCTTCCCCGGATGCCAGTTCCTGTCAGCAGCCAGTGGGGTTAGGCCATAGGGCTCTAAGTGACCTCTCCACCTCCAAACCCTACCAATCCGAGAAAATTGTAAGAAGTCTCAATGACTCTGCCATCCCCCTTCCCCTGTTGGGGCTCAGGTGACTTCTGGGGAGAGTTCTCACTTACTGCTCAGGCAGAGAAAGGTAGGTAGCAGGAGTATATGCTACCTCCCTTCCTGTGGGTTTACCTCTCCCATCTCCAGGATAGGGGGTACGCAGGGCAGTTCTGACCCAGAGGATAGCTACTTGTAGCTGTCCTTTCCCTGGATCTGCGCTAGTCTGAAGGTCTCTTGGGATGGAAGATGGAGAAGGGTTACAGGGGTCCCAACCCCTATTCTCTCCATTGGTCTACATCCCTTCCCCCTTTGGTGGCCAACTGTGGGCCTGCCCTGGACCTCATCTACTCAGCAAGAATTGGCCCTGAGGCTGGAGGCGGCTGACTTGGAAGGGGAGTCGGGTTCACGTGCACTGGTCCAGGTCAGAAGCCCTGGCCAGGAAGGACCCATGCCTCTCGGGGTCCTGATGGGAATGTAATGACGGGAATGGAGCAGACTCCCAGCCCAGGGTCTGCTCCCCACTCTTCTCCTCACTTCATTTCTCCTTCGGTCACCCCTCCCCACCAGAGGCACCAGAGGCACCCCTCCCCTTTGTCACCGACAGCCCCAGAGTGTTTCTGTGTGAAACCTTCTTATTGACACTGTGGCATCAAAATCCACAAAGGATGGATTAATTGCACTCTGGTTAACAGCAGCAGCACAATGATTAAAATCTATATTCCTATCTTCTCTGGCACCCTGATGCAGGGGTGGGGTGGACGGTGTCTTGATATGCGGAGGGGACCGCATGAAACAGTCCCTCTGACATTCTCAGGCTAAACGGGGCCCCAAGGGACCACTTGTTCTTGGCTGTTCCTTCTGAGGTGGTTCCACCTTCAAACCACCCTGCCCTGACCAGTCACCTCACTCCTAGGAAAACAGCCCACTTCCCGTCTCCTGCACGTTGACGCCCCACAGGCGTGTTGGGAAAAGGCTGCACTCGTTGACTGACTTCTTCGTTGGGTTACGTCTTGTGACTGGCCTCAGTTCATTCAGCTCCAGCTCATTTCTGTCTTGCCCACAGTAGAAAGGGAATTGCTCACTAATGTAAAAACGTGAAGGACGTGCCTCCTTTTAGCTGGTATAGCACCGCTTTCTGATTCCAAGTTATTTTTAAAAGCTGTGCTAACACGGGGGATACAAAGATGAAAAAAATACATGCCCTGGAGGGGCGGTGGGGGGGGGGGTCAGGGAGCACGCACCACGTGCTGGTATGATTATTTCTCCTGAAGCAGGAACACCCGTCTGAGGGGTCACGCGGAGCCTCCTGGAGGAGGTAACACCTCCAGTGAACCTTCACAGACAAGTGGAACCAGGGTCTTTACGGGACAGTCATTTTGCCTCCCTTTCTCTCGTACCTGATCTTTTTCTTTACTTGGGCACTGGAAGGACACTGCCACCTGCTGACCCAGCCTTTCCCTCCCACCTTGGCATCCTGTGGCCACGGGTGCACCCTACGGAGCAGACTGCAGAGAGGCCTTCCCTACTGCTTCCAGACCCCCACGCCCAGCCCATTTCCGTTGAGCCCCCTGAAGTGACTGTTAGAAAGAGAGGCCGGGGCAGCAGGTTAGGGGAAGCATCGCTAAGCCCAGCCCTCCATTCCACTTCTGTCTCTGCACTGCCTGCTCCCACCCTCCCCAACCCCTCCCCAAGAAAGGCATTTACAAATGGGCTCCCTCCACCCCTTCCAACAGGAAGCCTAGCTTTGTGTGTAGGAGGCTTTCCAAGCACACAAAATGGCACCAGACATGTGGATGGGACTGAGGCGTTTTAAATAGTTGGGGTACCTTAGGGCTGTAGCCAGCCCTAAAGGCTCTTCCCATTATGAGAATGGGGGACTGACTGCTGCAACCTGTGAGGGCCACTCAGGGCTCAAGCTGGTATCTGCTGAGGACTCACCTCTTGGAGGTCCATGCTGGGAAGACTTTGGGTGTGGCTCACAGAGGAGCGAGGGAAATAGGGGGTGTCAGCGGCATACCTCATGGCTGTACCTCATGGTGCTGCAGAGGCCGCTCAGGATCTGGGGTCCAATGGCCTGGCTCCGGGCCTCAACCCCCTCCCTGCCATAGGCCTTCTCATCCCAGTCCGTCTCTGGAAGGCCCCTCCCCTCTCTTGTCTTCATTTCCCAATCTGTAAAACAAAAGCAATGACAATGCCATCTCACAAGTTGGCAAAGCACCCGCTTCAATCCTCAGATCAACTCTGTGGAGAAGGCAGTATCCTCGTATTTTGCACACGAAACAACTAAGCCTCCAAGAGGTCATATAACTTGTCCAAGGTCACAAGCTACCAAGTGACTGAACCAAATCTGATTCTAAAACCTGTGACCACAGTACTGCATCGCCTCAAATGGAATAGCACATAGGAAAGGGGAGAAAATCAGCTGCTCTGTACTGTGTAGGGGTTCAGAATGTCAAACCTGGAAAGATGGAGGGCTCCAAACAGTCCCTTTGTTCCCCGAGGAATGAGTATGAGAATTAGCAAGGAAAGATTGGGAAGGGCTCCCTAACGTGAAACGAGCATAGAATAGCCCTAAATTTACATCCCAGGAAAGTTCCCTTCTGGCCCTTTGACTGTGTCAGCTATTGCAAAGCATTGTCTGACACTGAACTCCAGTTATGTGTCTGGCATGGTCCTGGACTTGGGATTCCTGCCCTCCAGTAGCTGCAGCCTTGGGAGGGAGACGGGGACTAAATCTGCAGTTAGTATTTGATGAGACAAGTGTCAGCCTTTGCTAGTGTAACCCAGAGGTGCCCCATCCTTACTGGCTACAGAGAGCTGAGAGGAACTGAGGGGATCAGAGAGGTTTCCAGAAAACAAATCTCAAACTGCACTTTGAAAGAAGAGGGAGAGCAGCCAGGCAGAGGGGGATGACCCCAGGCTTTGAAGCAAGAAATGTGAGTTCAAATCATAATTGTCATGTGCGGATTGAACTTGGGTACGTTGTTAACCCCTGAATCTCAGTTTCCTTATTTGTAAAATGAAAAAATAAGGCCTCACTGAGGTTAAGAGCTACCTACTATACACAAAATGATTTGCATATATAAGGTGAGTAGCTGCACTATTATTTTTTGTTGTTGAGGGAGAGACAGAGGTGTTCTCAAGTCCACTGAGGGACAACATGCACATTGCAGAGAATCTAGGGAGATGGGCTGGAAGTACAGGCAGGGCAGATCAAGAGGCCTCACGTGCCTTGCTAAGGAGTCTGGACTTTATCCATATGGGAAACTGGGAGCAAATTAAGGATTTTAAGTGGAGAAGCATCATGATCATATTTGTGCCATTGGAACATAGGATCAGCCAAGTTCCTCTTCTGAGGAAAACGAAGTAAAATCACCAAGGCACCATCTAAGATGAGAAAGAACCCCAGGGACTTCCCTGGTGGCATAGTGGTTAAGAATCCGCCTGCCAATGCGGGGGACACGGGTCCAAGAAGATCCCACATGCGGTGGAGCAATTAAGCCTGTGCGCCACAACTACTGAAGCCCGTGCGCCACAACTACTGAAGCCCGTGCGCCACAACTACCCTGCGCTCCACAACAAGGGAAGCCACCGCAGTGAGAAGCCCGCACGCCGCAGCAAAGAGTAGCCCCCGCTCACGGCAACTAGAGAAAGCCCGCGTGCCACGATGAAGACCCAACACAGCCAATAAATAAATAAGTAAACAATTTTTTTTTTTTAAAGAAAGAACCCCAGTTGGGGTTGGAATCCTCAGAAAAACACGTGGGCCAAGCTTGTCAGGCCTCCTCTGGAGGAAGGTCCATCTGCTGGGCGATTAAAGTGCCAGGAGGGTTTAGAACCACAGAAAGTGGACAAGTCCCTCCCTTCCATAGCTTCTTCTCCTCCAGAATTTCTAATGATCTCTTGCATTTGCGTTGAGCTTTCTGGCCCACAGATACACTGAACAGGAGGTGGGGTACCATCGGCCTTTTCCAACCCCCATCTTGTAGAAGAAGAAACAGAACCGGGAACCCTATGACTAACCCAAGCGGCACAGCTAACAAGTGATGGAACGGAGACTCTAATCCAGCTGCCGGGGTGGAGGGTAGTGCATACCCCCACCGCCCACCATTCTGAGCTCTGCAGTAAGAGATGGCATGCCCGCCCCTGGGTGGCGGCAGAACAGGACCAAAGCCTCAGGCCGGGCTTGGTGAGATCAAAGAGTTGCGTGGGCAGGCGCTTCTTGTTGGCATTAGACCACTGCAGAAGTGAAGGCATGAGGCAGAGCACAGGCAAGAGCTGAAGAGACGGGCACATAAAAGGACCCAGACAGGTTGGGCAGATAAGCTTCCATTTTATTAGTTTCCTAGGGCTGCCATAACAAAACACTGCAGACTGGTGGCTTCAAAAACAACAGAAATGTATTGCCTCACAATTCTAGAAGTCTGAAATCAAGAGGGAGGGGGAACCTTCCTTGCCTCTTCCTGGCTCTGAGGACTGAGCTGATCTGGGAAGGCTTCCTGGAGGAGACTGCTGTTATAACTGGGCCTCAAGGGAAGGGAGACTTGGGTGCCAAAATGCACACAGGAGTGGGGAGTGATGTGAAAAATGATTAGAAGGCAAGTTGGAGCCTGTGCCGACCCTGAACAGTGGGTCGATGCCTCGAGAAGAAGGGTTTGAGGAAGGTCAGCATCAGTGTGATATGATGGTTGTGGCTGCCTCTCCAAGCACACCCGTCTCCATTGGCAGTGCCAGGAGTGACGGGGGAGGGGGTGGGGAGTAGGGGGGAGGAGCCCATCTCTGGGAAAGGGCGGCGAGCCAGCTGGCTGCAAGTGCACAATGTCTCTAGAGTACCCTGTGTTACGTTCTTGTAGAGTCTGCATTCTCCCTCAGGATGTGACCCTTTAATAATTTAAACTGTGGGGTGTTTTCCCAAATATCCAGTTCATTTGAGCTCCCCAGGCAGGTATGTGCCTGGTTCAAAGGACCCCCAGAGCCCACGTGTTCCTGACGGCGTGAAGCAGAGCACCAAGAAACCACCGTCTGCAGCCCAGAGGCCAAAGTGTCCCTCTTTCCAAGAGTGATGGACCCCTTTACAGGTTATGTGCAGTCGGTATTTCATACCAGACAAACTTCCTGCGACTCCACCCAGCATGCTCTGGGCCAGCCCGACCCCTGCACATGTGCACACTCACAAACATACACACGCTCACACACACACACTCACCTCTCTCCCTTCCCCCTCCCCTCTCTCCCTTTCCCCTCCCCTCTCTCTTTCATGCTCACACACACACCTCACACACCCACATACCCCTCACTCTTACACAGACCTTACATGTACACTCGCAGATTTACACTCACATAATCACTCATGTTCACATACACAACTCACACACCTCACTCTTATGCTTCACACTTGCCTCACACCCTTACAATATAGCTCACACTCACACGTGCCTTAAACTCTTATACCCACACACTTCAAATACACCCCACACTTTTACACGCACTTCACACGCATGTGCACACCCGTTCACACACATGTTTACGCTCTTACGCACGCCTCGCACTCACACATATACCCCTCACACTTACACTCTGGTACACACACTGGGAGCAGGTGCCCGGGCTCAGCACCCCTTCAGTGTGGACGGTGAGTTGCCAGCTCAGGAGCATCCACTGCTTTGACATCCACACTGCCGGCCCCTCCAGAACCTCGTGCACAGTTTGCTGCAACAGCCAGGGGGACCTTTGCACCCTCATTTCCCTAGGACCTTAGGAAAGACCGGGATCCATCTATTTTACAGGGGAGGAAACTGAGACCCAAAGGAGTCCTGTGGCTTCCCCAAGCTGTCACGAGTTCCGTAAAAGGGGCGGGGCGGGCCGGGGGGAACCGTTTGCGGCTTCCCTGCTTACCTTCACACGCTCAGCACCTGGTCCATGCCCTGCACGCAGCCAGCACTTGGTAAACCTGGACTGAGACAGTGAATGGGTGAAGGGAAAGGACAGGGGAAAAGATCCTGGTGCCCCAGTCCCATTCCTAATTTAGCCAGACTGAATTCTCCTGGCTCTTGAGACTTTTCTTTTCTTTTTTTCATGCAAAACCTCCCAGCCGCCTGCCTCCTCTGAAGAGGAAATATCTGGCAGACGACTCAGAAGGTCAATGGGGTGAGGGGCTGGAGGCCCGGAAGTGTCTGAAGACTTGATGCCTGAGGTGACACTTTAGAAGTGGTGGCTTTTGTAGGTGGTTCAGGGAGAACTCTGTCTCCCCCAGGCTCGTGGGGTCCGCCTCCCCCTCCCCGCACCCTCCACGTTGCTGCAGTGTGGAGACCGGGTGGGCGAGGAACTCCGGGCTTGCAGTTGGTGGCCTTCTGACCCGCTTGGGCACTAACCGGGCTGTCCAGGCCCCAGCCTCGGTCAGCCTCGGAAGGGGGGATGTGGATGTGCCAGGAGGTGAGGGACCCCTGAGGCCCCATTCACTGTCTCTAGAAGGTGGCCCACCTTGCCTGCCTTATCTGGAGGACCAGAAGGAGGACTTTGGGGCGACCGGCCTCCCATTCAACAGACAGTGGGCCTTGGTCCTAATCTCAGTTTAGCAATTCACATTCTTAAAAACAAACGTTTATAAGGCAATAATAATTTACAAATCCCTTTCCCAGGCTCCCCACTCCACATGCAGCACCCCCATCTGTAGGAGAAGGGACTGGATTGGAGCTGCCCTTCCAAACTGGCCTTACTCTGCCTCAGACTCAAGTCCCAGCACCTTGGGGAAGGCAGCTCAACCGTGGGTGGAAAACGACCGCCTCGTCCCACACCTCCGGCCCCCTCCACATGGCGGCTGGATTCCTCTGCCCTTTCAGAAGCGGTTCTCATCTGCAAACCTGCCTACACCCTCACAGAGCTGAAACACCCTCCCTCAGCTCCCCGGTCCTCCAGGTGATTCCCAGCCTCCGTCTTGACTTCTAAGACCCTTCACGAAAGTCCTGCCCTTCCAGCCCCGCCTCCTTACCTCTGCCAAGTGTGGCTTGTGGGAGACCACCGGAGCAGGCAGTTCCCTAACCTGTCCCTGCTGCTCCCCCCGCTACCCCGCCCCAGCCCATCCCTCCCCGCAGAATGCAGAATACCCCCTCCTTGTGTACCCCCACCTCACCCCCATACACACAGGGCTCCTCAGGACACGGTGAGATTGTTAAACCTCATGCCCAGAGCGTCACTGCGCTGGGCACCAGAGCCTAAATGTGTAATAAGTGGCTGAATGGAACAAATGCGTAGCAAACAACCAAACAGAAGGAAAGTCAGACAACCAAGGGCCCAGAGAGCACCAGCTTTGAGAGGAACTTTTACAAAGCCCCCCTTCCTCTGAGCGCATCTGGCTGGTATGAGGAACCAGAGCCAAGAAATGAACAGTATTTCAAATCCCCCTGCTTATGAGGTGGGCTCTCTCTCCCCTTCTCCCCGGGCTCTGACAGGAGTGATAGGTCAGAATTGGGCTTTTCATAAACTTTGGGTGACAGCCAGCCTATTAATCCAGGCTGGTGGTAGCAGCCCCAGCACCAGATTGTGCTAGCGTCATTCAGGGCCAAGAGAAATGCTGGCTTCCCTTCCCAAGGGCCAGGAGCTGGTGACCTGGCTAAAGAATGTGCTTGGCTAGGGGTTTACATTCCAGGATCAGTTTGGGAGGCAAAGGGCTTAGGTTGCCAGTGGGAGCCAATCATGGGCAGGGAGGCGGCACTGGGCAGACCTTCCTCCCTCGTCCCTCCTGGGCATACCTCCCATGCCCTGCCCTTTCTGGTCCTGCCTGGACCTCTTTGGACCTCCCTGAGTGCAGGGTGGCAGCTGTGGAGGCAGGACCAGGAGGAGGAAGACCTCAGCCCCCTCAAGGGAGCAGCATTTAAATGGAGTATAAAGTACTGAGTTCCAAGCCACAGTACGCACAGCCATAAATCCCCAGCTGCTGGAGAGCCTTTTCCAGTTTACAAAGAGGCTCCACATTCAGGATCTCCTTTGGCCAATAGGAACTGAGGCCTGAAGGGACTGAGTCACCCACCCCAGGTCATGTGGCCAGCAAGGGGCAGAGCTCGGTATGGAAACCCATTATCTGACTGCCATTCTGAGGCTCATGTACCCCCTTCTTCATCTATATCAACAGCCTTTGTACCCCAGAATCTAACCCAAGGCCCTGACTTCACAGGGTCAGTGAAGGATCAGTGGGTATGAAAGTATTGACCACCGTAATGATAGGGGTTTATTTTTATTTACGTATTCTCCATCTCAGTCCATCAAGGATCTCAGACGACTAATGGCAACAACACACCAGGGTTAGCCGGTGGACAGTACTTGGTGACTGGGTACCCAGTGGAGGAATCCCATGAAAGCTTTTGTCCCAGTCATAAGCATAGGCGCCCCCTCTACATCCCCACCCCACAGCAATGGGATTTACACAACCTCAGAGATTGAGAATGAACATAGAAGCGAGGGGCAGAAAGGAGCTCTTTTTGTTTTGCCGTTAACAGTGAGGTAAGGAGACCCCTTTCCAAAGTACTGACTAGAAGCCCTAGACTTTAAAGCTACACAAATATCCACCCACCCCACCTCCCAGCTCTCAGCAAGAACCCTCGTCTGGCCTTAAAAACAAGCAGTGAGAGTAATTCAAAGGCCCTTCCTTTTCCCCCCCAAGTGAGGCTGCTCCCTCCCTCCCCCAGCACAGAGCTCCAGCCTTGGGTGGTTTCAATGACCACTTCCTAGCGCTGAACTTATCTTAACAGTCCTTTGTCCCAGATCAGATCAGCTGTAGCTCAGGGGGACAGCCCCTTGCTGTCATAGCTCCCATCCACACAAACACACACTTCGGTCTCAGCCAGAATGGGGGCTGGGGGGAGCAGACTTGGGAGGACCAGAGCCCAGCAAAACCCCAAGCAGACTGAGAAGAAACCATCAGTCTGACAGCTTCACATCTTGTTTCGTCCCACAGCAAGCCCAGGAGGGGTCCTGAGGCACGCTTCATGTTGAGTGAACTATGACTTAGAGAGCTTAGTCTACTTGAGACTTGGGTAAATCAAGGATCCTCTCCAAGCCAAAGTATGATGGTTGAGAATGCTATTTCTGGAGCCAGATTGCCTAGGCTCCAATCTGGCTCCACCACTTGCCAGCTCTGTAACCCCACATGGGCAGGTATTTAATTTCTCTGTGTCTCAGTTTCCTCATCTGTGCAATGGGGATAATCATATGTTAGAACCTATTTCATAGAATTGTGGTGAGGACTGAATTCATTCATACAGTGACTAGCACACAGTAAGCGTGTTAGCTGTGCAAAAGAGAATAATTCTTATCCAGAGAGTTGCCGAGAGATAAGGGATAGTCATAGTCAGTTAGTGGCAGAGCAGAGCCAGGAGCCCAGGGTGTCAAACTCCTGAGCCAAAACATCATGCCAGGGGTGGGAGCAGGAATGGGGCTCGTGAGTGTCCTGTAGTGAGGGAATCAGTTGCCAGGTGGGCAAAAGAACAGGCATGACTGAGATTTCTAATTTGTCCCTACTTAAACATTGCAGAGAAGTTACAGCAGAGTTGAAATGCAACTCAGAGTTGATTTATCCAAATCCCTTTCTATAGACGAGGAAACTGCACCCCAAAGAGAAAGTCCTTGGCCATGACCAACAATGTGGGTAGTGGTGAAAGAGGAGGTGGAACCCAGGACTCCTTTTTTTTTTTTTGGCTGTACCACACAACTTGCGGGGTTCCCCGACCAGGGACTGAACCCGGGCCCTCGGCAGTGAAAGCAAGGACTCTTAACCATTGGACCACCAGGGAATTCCCTGGAACCCAGGACTCGTGACTCCTGTCCGTCTGTGTGTAATTTCCCTGCTGCTCCAGGTGGGAGACAGTGCAAACTCTCTGGCTTGGGGAGAAGAGCTAGCTTCTCCTTGGTCACATCCCTCTCAGGCCTGGCCCGTGAATAACATTCAATTTCCCATTGTAACTGAGAGCTTGGGGACCGTTTTCAGCGTCTGCAGCACAAAATTCCCCAAACTCCTGGTAAGGCTTACTAAATTTATATTGTAAGCGGCTCACCAGTTCCATCTTGTGTTTCCGAAGCCCATGTGGGCACCACAAGACAATGTGATTCTTAGGGACTTGAGTTGTGATGTAAGGCTGACAGGGTTTGCCTCCCAGCTGTGTTACTCGTAGCTAGGACTGAGTGGTCTTGGACATGACACTATATCTAAGATGCTTAAAACCAGGACTGGCTCAATAAATGTCGGATAACATTATACCTATTATTGCAGTCGCTCAGCACATATTTGTTGAATGAATGAATTAATGAATGAATGAAATGAACAAATTGCCTAAGCTGACCTCCACTTGTGATCACAGCATCGGGCATCCCATAAAACTTGCTAGGCTTAGTTCGGTCAGCAGGGGACAGCATTGAGTCAAGCATCTCAATTTGCCAGAGACTTGCAGAATTCACAATCCTGTTTTCGGATGCCCAGCTCCCAGTCTCGGAGGGCCACTTCTAATGTGTAGGTTCCTAACCAAGCAGTTCCACCAGCCCCTGAGGAAGAAAGGTCAGCACCTTCAAGGCCATGTTGTCCACCACCCGAGAGTGTCAGTTACTGAGGGCTGTAGCTCAGAGCTCTGAGAAAGGGAAATATAATGGTTGAGGTCTCAGGCAAAGAGGTGGTAAGCTGAGCCCTTTAGCCTGCAGCAGCCCTTTTTCCAGAGAAAAGGAAAGAGGGCCCCAGGCATCTATATTGAGATAAATCCCAAGGCAGGAGATGCTCTAGGGCCTGGGAGCTCCCCTGCAGATCATCAGATCCAGAAAGTGCTTAGCTGGCCCTCTACTTTCCTGCCCCCACTACTCCTTCAGCATCTCCCCTCACTCCTACCCCACCCCCACCCCATCCCAGAAGGTCTTTCATCACAGTTTACCCTCCCTTCAAGGTCCAACTGGCCTCCTGTGAGGCCCTCCCTCAAACCCCTGAGCCAGAATAAGACCCATCCTTTCAGCCCCACGTGGCATTTTGTACCTGTCTTTTTTTTTTTTAATACATACATAGTTTAAATTTATTATAGTTTGTTTTCATCTCTCCAAGGGAATGACTGGATTAACAGTGTAGATATGGGGATGTGAAATTTATGGTATGAGACCAGACATAGGGTAGTTGCAAGAAGTTGCTTATTTTTTGGTTAACACTCATAAAATTTTTTCCTTCATATTTTCTTCAAGCATTTTTTAAAATAAATTTATTTATTTATTTAATTTTGGCTGTATTGGGTCTTCGTTGCTGTGCATGGACTTTCTCTAGTTGGGGCGAGCTGGGGGTTGGGGGCAGCTACTCTTCGTTGCGGTGCGTGGGCTTCTCATTGTGCGGGATTCAGTAGTTGTGGCTCACGGGCTCTAGAGTGCAGGCTCAGTAGTTGTGGCGCACTGGCTTAGTTGCTCCGCGGCATGTGGGATCTTCCCGGACCAGGGCTCTAACCTGTGTCCCTTACATTGGCAGGAGGATTCTTAACCACTGCGCCACCAGGGAAGTTCCTTCAAGAATTTAAGTGCGTCTCTTGTGCCCTAAATTTGTGCTACTGACCAAACCACCTATCTAACCTTCTTCGTAGCTTTTATTTTACTTTTAAAAAATTTTTTATTGGAGTATAGTTGACTTACAGTGTTGTGTACGCGGGCATCTCCCCATCGCGGCCTCCCCCGTTGCGGAGCACAGGCTCCAGACGCGCAGGCCCAGCGGCCATGGCTCACGGGCCCGGCCGCTCCACGGCACGTGGGATCCCCCCGGACCGGGGTACGAACCCGTGTCCCCTGCATCGGCAGGCGGACCCCCAACCACTGCGCCACCAGGGAAGCCCCAGCCTTCCCACTTCCTGCTTTGGATTACATGGTACTTTATTTATCTTATTTCCCTTACTAAACTGTAAACTTCCTGAGAGCAGGGAGCTAATTCTTAGTTGCCCCTCAAGAGTCATCTTAGATGTATTTCTTTTTCAGTAGAAATACCCCAAAGCGTGGCCTTGGTATCCCTCACCTGCCCTCCCACGAGCACCCTGCACTTCACACATCACAGCAGTCCTTACTCTGAGCCACATTAACATCCTCTTCTGCTGGTCTGGACACACACAGATTGTGAAGTGTGCAAGAATTGGCACAGATATTTGTTCCTAACTGTCTCCCCAGTGAGGCACCTAGTAGGCTCAATAAGTGGTTAATCCCAGAGCCCCTCACACAGTGATCACCAATAGTAGGCTTCCCCCCAACGCCCCGCAACTGGCTGGTGGGGCAGGCAGGATTGAGATGGCTCAGCTCAGCCCAGATTCCTGGGCACATCCGAGCACATGACCCAGGAATTCCCCAATACCTGGCGGCAGCCAAGTCCCCTGACGTAATCAGACTCTCTGTCAGGCATTCTCACTCTGAGACAGACCAGGCCTCCCTTTAAGGAATCTGAGCATTGAGCTTTAGCAGTTAAGATCATTTCCGAGTTGTATGCTGTTCCGGCTCTGTGTCTGTTCGTCTGCCTCCCTGGCCTGTCTGCTGTAGGCAGACAGCAGCCAGGCCCATTCATCACTAAAGCCCTCTCTTGTAGTTCCTTAGAGGCCAGCAGGCTGCATCTTGACTGGAACTGAGATCTCTTTTCTCTGCAGACTTTGGCTATCATGGCTTGCCCCCTAAATGGGGATTCACATTCTGATCAAAGGAATCTGAAGTGAGGGCGGGGAAGGTCCAAGAGGTACGGGAGATCTACCCCAAATCCCCACCCCCCCACCCCTGCAATAGTCAGTTTAGCTGGGAACAGAGGGAAATCACTTTAGCCTTTGAATTCCACTGTACATGCATTCCTTTAGTTCATAAGCATCTACTGAGTGCCTTTTTTGTGCCTAGCAGTGGGCTAAGTGTTAGGGATACCTGGAATCTAGATTAGGTCTAGACTAATCTAGATTTCATAGAAGTCTTGATTAAGCTTGAAAGGGAATTTTAGGCTCATCTGTATGATTCTTTCATCTTACTTATGATAAAATATTGATTCATCTGGCTAACTGTCTCACATCCTTCAGGTCTCAGCTTAAAAGGCTCTGTCTGCAGGAAACTGCCCCAGACCAACCTCCTCCTCTCTGCGCTAGGGGCTCCCTCCTGTTATATACCCCAAGGGCATTCTGTTCTTCCCCCATTGCGTACACATCTTCCTCTGTCTAGGATTTGCTTATTTCTCACTAGACTGAGAACTCTCAGAGACCATGTCCACCCTGGCACCATCATATCCATAGGCCAGCACCTAGTGGGCACCAGTATTTGTAGAATGACTAAGTGATGGGGTAAAAGGCCACAGACATGATTGGTGTCAGTCAGAACTAGAACTCAGGGCTCCTAACACTCAGCCCTGTGCTTGATCTTATATTACCCATGCTTCCTCTTGAGAGCCCTAATCTATCTAGATGGCCCCAGCTACCTGGGCTCCAGGAATGGATGCAGATCTCATTGGGGAAAGGAAGTCGGGGGAGGGGGGGGGAACTTTCACCTGGGCCTCATTCTATTTTCACAGATAGCCCAGGGGAGGCCGGCAGAGAGAAGAATGCCAAACTGGCTACCACCTCCTGTGATCCTCCAGATTTGGGGAAGCAGTGTTTGTTTCCTGCATAAGTGGATCCTCTCCAGCTATAAAGGAAGCCAACGGCCCCATTCTCCACCCCTAACTCAAAATAGAAAGGATCAGTGGAAGTGGGAAAGTGGGCAGACACTAAATATAAATTTCAGTCACTGGGGATCACATCCTTCTTGATCTTCAGCATGTCCTGAATACACAGCTGGAGGCACCATCCTCCTGAGGCCTCTGAATCTCAGCTCTGCCAGTTTCTCACCAGTTGTGTGGCCTTGGGCACAGGATTGAGCTACCATGAAGACTCAAGGGGAAATGTTCCTTTCTCCCCATTACACTCCACATCTAGATGAAGCAGGAGAGAAATGGATATTCTCATTTCACTCTAAATGACACTCAGTATGGGGATTCTGGACCTGGGGATTCTGCTCCAGGCCTTAAAAATGAAGCCATAGGTCATGCCCTACCTGGCTCCAAAATCACAGAAAGGAAAACTTGAGTGGGCAGCTATTTACAGGTTTAGGGACACAAGTTCTATAGTAGGAGTGTAATACATTTTTTAATGAATGAGTGTTTCCCTTTGTTTCTCTCCACCTCCTCCCAATGCTTTGTAAATTCCACCACATCTTGAGGGACCCACTCAAATTTAGAAGCCTTATTTGCTGAAGAAGTAAGAACTTTCCAGAACTGCATTTCTGGGATACAATTAAGGTTGATCCAACTGAAGACAGTTGAATTCAGAACCCTGAAACAGCTCTCCCCTAGCCCTCCAACTTGAGAGTCTGCCTCCATCCCATTCCATCCCTCCTTCCTCCTTACAGTCTTAAAGAAGTGGTCAAGTGCCTTTACAGATTTTGATTTGAGGGAAGCAAATTACTCAGGATGCGGAAATACTTTGGGGACCTCTAGTACTGTCAGGTTGCCCCTTGCTAAATGAGAACAGCACAATGGAAAGACAACAGGGCCTCTAACCAGGACCAAGAGCCTCTCAGGGGCAAGAGCTGTTCCAGAGACCCGGAAAATTTCTGGACCCCAGTGGTATCAACCCCCGCCGCCACTCACCCAACCCCCCTCAACACCCCACCAACATCTCCGCCCCGCCCCGCGTAGCCGACCCCGGCGTAAGGTATTCCCCTTGCCTGACCCTCGGGGGCCCAGGTGGGCGGGGCTCCATTGACACCTTTCCCAGCCGCTCTTGGAGGAGGCGGAGCCAGGGACCCGGCAAGCCAATGCTGGCGGTCCTGGTCACGCGCAGCCGGCGATCAGGCCAATGGGTGCCGGGGGGTGTGGCCAGAGCCTCTAGTTCAGGGCGTTTATAACAACTTGGAATTCGGCGCCTGGTCGCGCGCTTTGGTACGGCTGTGGATTCTCGCGCCGCGAGTGGGCAGGCGACCCGGGCTCTAGCTCTCTCTGCGGAGCCGATTCCTCCTCCGCCCTCGCTCACCTGCTCGCCATGGAGTCCTTGGCTTTCCCCCGGCGCCTCGGCCCGGCTCCCTCGGCCACCGCTGCCCTGGCCGCGGAGCTCGTTCGGCCTTTGGCCGACGGGCTCCTCAAGTCGCCCAAGCCCCTAATGAAGAAGCAGGCAGTGAAGCGGCACCACCACAAGCACAACCTGCGACACCGCTACGAGTTCCTGGAGACCCTGGGCAAGGGGACCTACGGGAAGGTGAAGAAGGCGCGGGAGAGCTCTGGGCGCCTGGTGAGTGCGGCTCCCTCTCGCGGCGCCAGCCGGTCAGGCTCGGGAGTTAGCCGCAGGCGGCGGGTGATGGAGGGTGGGCCGGGAGCTAGTGCCTTGCTTGGTGGACTTGCCCGCATTCAGTCTTTACCGCGCTGAGGTTGCGTATGTGTATGGGGTGCTGGTAGTGTAGAAATTGTCCATGGCTGTAGGGACAGTGGTCGTGGACCTGAGAACCCCACCAACTCCGGTCAGCAAGTGATGATTGCCAAATAAGTGAGGCGGGGTGCACAGAGGACGAAAGGTGTCCAGGGATGAGAAGGCTTCCTAAAGACGATGAGACTTAAGTGGAATTTTGCTTGTAACAAGACTATCCAATAGAGTGGGATGGGGAGAGGAAGTAGAAGGCACCTGATCTTAGCAAGGGGTTAGTAAACGTGTGTAGCTGAATGAAAAAGTGAATGAAGTGTCCAGTTCCTCAATTCAGTTCTAATAGTCTGGCAGCCCAGCATACTGTGGAGATATCACCCCCTCCCGGGGGGCGCGGGTGGGTTTGACATTTAGGTCCTTTCCAGGTCTAAGATTGAGCCAGAGTTTCATTATGATGGGTTTTTAATTCTGGTAAATGTGAAACTAGGCTCTGGTGAAAAATCCACTGTGCCCCAAGATACCTTTGGGTTTGGGGCCTTTTCAGGTATGTGTCCTGTTAATTTGGGATGGGTGTGTGTGTATAGTAGTAGTAATCTGTGGGACCTTGTGTAATTTACTTTATCTCTGTACTCTGTTTCCCCTTCTGCAAAAATGAAGAAAACAGAGCCTCCCTCACAGCTGCTATGAGGATTGAATGAGATACAAATATGAATTTAAATTGTTGCTGACAATAGAACCCGCCATGAGAACTGGTATTTATATTTGAAAAGTCTGGCCCCGAAGGGATAGCAGTTTTGCCAAAAGTTAACAATGGTCCCCAAACTTGAGTTTAATGGGCATAGGAATCACCTGGGTGCTTGTTTAAACTACTTCTTCTCTAGTTCCACACCAAGAGGATTTTATTCTGAAGGTGTAGGATGGGGCCAAATAACCTGTATTTGGGGGGACGGCTGCACCCTGCAGGCTTGGCATGTGGGATCAGGACGCAGATCAGACCTGTGCCCCCTGCAGTGGAATCGCAGAACCTTAATCACTGGACCGCCAGGGAAGGCCCTAAATACACTGTATTTTGACAGGCCTTTTAGGGCAGGTGGTTTAGGGATTGTTTTGCCAAATCCAGTTGGGTGCTGTTTATGAGATGTGCATGCATGTGTGTGTGCCTGTGTGAGTGGCCATGGTCTGCCCTATCAGGTATGGTAGCAGTTACCTCCCCAGACTGTTTGCTTTTGCAGCCAGTAGCTGGTTTGAAATTCAAGAAGTCATTTCATTGGTGAAGGAGAGTGGATGCTGGGGAAAGGGAATGGATTATGGCCTCATCAATAGGACCGAGTATGTTTTTCCTGCTAACACCTGGCACGGTCCCCAGTTGCCTGCTACCAGGTTACAGCTATTGGGCAATCATGTACTTCCTGGCTTTCCTTTTCTTTCTCTTTCTATAAAGTGTGAGGGCCCGGTGAGGCTCCAGGCTGGAGACAGCTGGGCCCAGGCTTTGTCAGGGGCTCAGCTGGAATATAGCTGCTTGTGGCTCGTGCCTCTTTTGGGGGGCAGACTGGATTGGGGGCACTGGGGTGGCCTGGAAACTGAGATTGAAGTTCAGAAATCCCATTAAGCTCTTGACCTGGGTCACCGCATGTGTGTCTCCGTGTGTGTGTGTGAAAGAGAGAAAAGGAAAGATCATTGATTCTGGAATGAGATAAACCAGATTTCAGTTTTCAAACCTCAGTGGCTGTAGGCAGGGATTCCAGCTCTTATTACATCAGAACAGAGAGAATTCAGAAGGTGCTCCCTGGCTTCATGTCTCTTGTATACAGGGAGCCCATATCAGGAGGAGTGGGACCTGCCCTAAAGCTCCCTAATCCATAGACCACCCTGTACTTCTTGCTCAGGGTCTCCCTCTTCCTTGGAGAGCAGCTCTACGCGCTGCTAATGGTTTCTCAAAATTCTGGAGAGGAATCCTCCCCCCACCGCACCCCCATTCCTGTCTCTTCACTCTTCTCCCTGAAGAGAGACCAACCTGGTGCCTCAGGATCTTCAGTGGGGGAGAGGGGTGTGGGAGCAGCCCACAACCTCCCCTCAAAGTGAACTGAGGGTTCAGAGGAAAGCCCGCTGCGTGACTTCCATCTCAATTTCTCTCCACATTTCGCATTCCCACCCTGCCTGGATAGGCTTCTCAGGGGCCAGATGGGATTGTCCGGAGGGAGGGGCAGGGGAGCAGGACTAATGGCTCCTCCAGGAGGGCACTAAAGGAAAAACCAATATTTGCTCTGGATCTTCTAGCTCTGACTACACTCCTGGTAGCCACATGGCATTTCCTCCTTTGACTCTCACAGCTCTCCTGACCACCCCTCCCCTAAAAAGAAAAACACCTGCTAGGGTCCCTGGAACGGTGGCATCCCCCAAAGCCTTTAGGTTGATCTGCATGGAATTTTTACTCCATGAGGAGCACAGGGGAGTCCAAGGGGACAGTGATCTGGGGCAGGGGTGCTTCTGTCTCATATATTGGATTGTTGCATGGGATTTCAAAATGTTTGAAAATGACTGAGATGGTCTGATTCCTTCATTGACAGATGGGGACACTGAAGCCCAGAGAGGGAAGGTGACATGTCCTGTGGCTGGTTAGTGGCATGCCTGCAACATAGGCTCCTGACTTGACCACCCCAGGTGCTAGATGACCAATACTGAGTCTTGGACTGGGAGTTGGCTTTGGGCTGAGCCCAGGCTTGCCTCAGTGTGCTTTGTCATTCCAACAGCTAGCTCCGACTGCCTTTCCCAGAGCTCCAGGCGCGCTGAGGGTGGGAGGAGTCACTGGGAACAGCCCCCACCCCCATACATACTGACAGTGTCAAGAGATCCCGAGTAGGTGAGCTACACTACATTTTACTTTGTCAGGAAGACTGCTCAGCTCAGCATCAGAGTGCAAGCATTCAAAATCCTGGCTCTACTTCTTACCAGCTGTGTGACCTCTGTGTATCTCAGTTTCCTCATCTGTAAAGTGGGGATTATAATAATTCCTACCTCGTGGGGTCCTCATAGGATTAAATAAGATAATATATGTAAAGTGCTCAGCACAGTAGCTGACACACACAGTGTTACTATCCCAGCAAGGCTGGGTTTGTTGAGGTCCTACCCTCCCTCTCTTGGGGGAGGGAGAGTCCACCCCACCCTGGGTCTGTCCTGCCCTGAGCAAGAGAATGGCTCTTGCTCAGCTTCCCTAAGCCCTTTGGTCTCTACATCGTTCAAAGTCCCAGCCTCTCCTTTAGCCCCTGATCCAGAGAAGGGCTCCCGCCTGGCCAGCTGCCAGAGGCCTCTTCTGTGTGGTGCTGCCCTCGCAGCTCCTCCTGCATCTGCCTGCTCAGCAGCAGGGAGGGAGACTCCAGCTGCAGGTGACTCTTGTCCTTGGGCTCTGGCCAAACCACACAAGAGGGCTGGGCGGGGAAGCACCTTGCCTGGCAGCCTGGCAGAGTGGGCAAAGAAAGGGTGGGCACAGCATGGGGTTTAGGGGAAGCAGCTCAGCCTCCCCTCAGAGCCCATTCCTGCTCCCAGCCTGGTTCTCTGGCAGGCTGGGTGGGATGGTGAGCCATCCCCACTCTGCCAGCCCTGGCCAGCTCAGCCCAACCTCTCCTGCATTATCTAAATGGGTCATCCTCCAGCTCCTTGCCCCACCTCCCAGAGGCAGCTGCTCCGTGAAAGGCCAAAAAGGAGTCAAGGATCTTGGCTCCAACTCTGGGTGATAGCTATGACCAGAGATGCCCAGCTTGTACCCTCTCTCCCGGCACCTGAAACCAGTACCTCTAGATCTTCTTTTTCTAAGACCTTTCTGCCATCCTCTCCTGAATCCAGATTATTCTTTTTTTTTTTTTTTGCCGTACGCGGGCCTCTCACTGTTGTGGCCTCTCCCGTTGTGGAGCAAGGCTCCGGACACACAGGCTCAGCGGCCATGGCTCACGGGCCCAGCCGCTCTGCGGCATGTGGGATCTTCCTGGACCAGGACACGAACCCATGTCCCCTGCATCGGCAGGTGGACTCTCAACCACTGCGCCACCAGGGAAGCCCCAGATTATTCTTGATCTGAGTTCCTGTGGGGGCTGGGAGGAGAGAAGGCAGTGTTTAACCAATTGAGCCCCAGCGCCCATCTTTCCAACGTCTTTGTATATCTGTAAGTGGGATGAGGGTGGCTGGTGGTACTGCACAGCCTGGCCCATGGCAGGGTGTGGGGCATTCCCTTCTCCAGGGGTAGGAGGCAGGGAGCTGGAGGCAGGGCAGAGCATCTGCAAGGAACTTTTGTCTTCTGAGGTGGTGGCTTCTCCAGGCAACACCCCTCCATCTTGGGTCCTGACAGCCTTGATATGTTGAGGAACCTCGGAAGAGTCACCTTTCTGGACTTTTGTGTTTGCCATTTACAAAATGGGATAAGGAGTTAGCTCTGCTGCCTTTCCAGCATGCAGGGCCACAGGGGCAAGAAAATCACTGGGCCGGTATCAGTAGGAATTTTGCTCAGGCAGGTAAACATAGATATAGCATGGGGCCTCTGAATAAACCTATCGTAACAATCCTTGGTTAGCACCTTCCTGGCGTAGTAGCACGTGACTCATTTCTGAAGAAGCTTGGCAGAGAATGCTAGAGTTTGGAAGGGAGCTTAGAGATCCTAATGTGCAAATTCGTGTATAGTTCCTTTCCTTTCTTTCTGGCCTGTGCTCAAACCTTTCTCTCTGCCTGGAATGCCCTTG